CAGGAAAGGCAGGGACACAGAGGGCTGGCAGAGTCTGATCAGAGCAAAAGTTAGGTGCACCCTTTCTGAAAGAAGCTTATGATTCAGGGGAATTCTACCAATCCGGGAAAGCGTTGCTGAAGATGCAGTGCAGGTTGTGGGGGAAGGGCAGGGTGTGGCAGCTGCATGTACACAGCACTGTGAGCACAGGGCCACATGCTACAGGCACAGTCATCTGTATATGTTTGCTTATATTTTGAGTGGACCCTGAGAAGTAGGTCAACCTTATATAAGGCAATGATGAGAAACTCTGCGATTACAGAGAACAGATGTCAGCTTTAGCATCTGGGCAGCTTGGTCTGCTGAAAAGATTAAGAACAGAGAGTGAGCACAGTGCCTCCTCCTCCATGGGATACACACACTGTCAAAGGAGGAGAGGAGGAAGAGAGCTCCAAACCTCTTCATACCTAAAAGCTTCCAGTACAGCTGGGCAGAGGCCAAAGGGTTGATTGAAAATACAGGAGGAGGAGGATTAAAACCATTGGAGAAATGCAGACCACTCATTCTCCGAAAGCAGACTCACCCCTGAGGTTTCCATTTGAAGCATGCTGCTGTGAGCCTCTGCAGATCACTCTGGCCGCTGGAGAGGACACAGGGTGCACTGCACACCTATGGCTCAGGAGTGCCACTACCTGTGGCTGGAGGCTTTCTGCAGAAGGCTTACCTGGCCAAGAGGGCACTGCTGAGTGCACAGGGAAGAAAACTCCCACACAGGAAGTAATGCAGGAATGTCTCCGTGTTGGCTGTTTCTGAAGGGCCAATCCAATGTCACAGCTCTTATTTGGGGACCCGCAAACTCATGGGTGAATCTCAAAGGAAAATCCCATTCTTTGTTCACTGTTGAGGGGCAGCCTTTCTGGTCTCAGGCTTGGGCTTCCTCTTGCCCAGATCCACAGAGCTTTGATCCCTTGGGGCTGATCTCTTAGCTGGCAAGGCCTGGCTGCTCTTGCACTAGGCAGAGCCCTCATAGGTCACGGACTTGGACACTGCAGCCGGAGGCCAGCAGAGGCCTAGGCCAGTCCACAAGGGGACCTCCGCACTGCTGACGGTGTTGTGGAAAGGGGATGTCCCATGGGGAGCAGAGTCTAGAACTCCACCCCATGGGGTGGAACCTTAGCAGGGATGATAGCAGAGACAGAGGCCATGATGGTGCTATCCCAGGAATCTATAAGTCTTTGCTACCAGAAACACCACTGGGTGTGGGTGCACCCACTTTCATGACATACCTGTCAACAACTTGTAGGAACTATGTGTCCATGTCATTTGTCAAAAATAAAATTAAAAACTATAGATTACACTGAAATGAGTTTCAGACTGTACTCTGCCTCAGACTTACCCTGGCTCTTGGCTGAAATGCAGATTGCTGGGCTCCACTTTTAGAGTTTCTTAATCAGCAGGTCCCGATGGAGCTGCAACGGGTATCTCTAAGGATTCTCCCAGGATCTGAGACTTCCAGTGCCCAGAGCCACTGCCTTAGAGAAGACAGGATAAAAGGAAAAGGAGGCACTTGAAGAACACGGTATGAAGGTGCATCTTTTCATTCATTTCAATCTGCTCGCTCAGGGCCTCTCTAGAATCTCGCTTGGGCTCTTCTTTGGCAATGAGGGGTGCTTTGCAGACTCAAGTCATACACAGAGGTGTGGATCCTCACAGGCATAGAGGGGAAGCAGGCTTATGCAAAGGTGATTGCAGGGGACCACCAAGGGCTGGGGACTCTGCCGGTGCACCTCTCCCCTCTGGTGCAGTAGGGGCTTCCCTTGCCTAGCAAGTCTGCTGGACAAAGGGCCTCTGATGCTCAAGCCGCACGCTTTCTGGGTGTGGGGAGCAATTTGTCCCCTCAGAATTTGGGCAAAGGGCAAGAGCAAGCTTGTACAACTCTAAATGCAGAGGCCCAGTGAGCAGCTGGGTGAGGGGGTCTTCTCCTATCCACCCAGGCCCTTGACAGGCGGAAGTCCAAGAAGAAGGGTCGGGCTTCTGCAAAGTAAGCGACACTGGATTGGTGGCTGAGTTAGTTTTTCTTTGTCTTAGCAAATGTGTATTTGCCTTAGTTGTTTCCTCCACCTGAGCATAGAGCAGGTTGTTACACGGAGCAGGTCGTTCGCTACAGGGCTTCCCCCACCTATGATAGATTTCACAGAATTCAAGTTGCCAGGGACCTCATCCCAGACCTACTGAATCAGAAAATGGGGATGTGATCCAGCAGGCTGGGTTTTAACAAGCTCTCAACCCTCAGGTGATTCTGATAGGCACAGCTTTTGGGTCTGTTATCTTTTTTTTCTTTTTGAGTCAGGGTCTCGCTATGTAGTTCAGGCTGACCTTGAACTTACTATCTAGCCTGAGACGCTCTTAAATTCATGGTGATCCTCCTGCCTCAGCCTTCCAAGTGCTGGGATTACAGGCATGGGTCACTGAGCCTGGTTTTCAGCCTGTTATTTTAGCGAGTTTCTAGGTAATGTGGATGCTTCAGGTCCATGGTCTCCTGTGACTACAAGGGTGTGTATTGGGATAATGTTGATCTTGACTTGTGTCTTAGTCCAGGCTGCTATGAAAAAGAGATCTTTGGCAAATGGGAAGGAGGGGACAGAGAGATAGAGGGCAAGGGGAGGAGAGGAGGGGAAGGGGACATAAGAAGAAACAAGATGTGTACATGTACATGTACCAGCTACCCACTATAAATGTATTCATGATGTAATGCAAACTTATAATAAACATAAAATGAAAGAAACAAGCTCTATAGCCTGTGCAGCTCATCGATGACAGACACTGGTGCACACAGCTCTGAGGTCCCTCTTCGGGTGGGCCCAAGCATCCATACATATTAACATGATCACTGGTTCAAGACCAAGTTGCCCCAGGCTCAGTGGCTACTGGTTTCCTGGCCAGTTAATGGTGCCTGCTCACTGCAGTCTCTCACTCTCAGGAAAGAAAGTGGTTCTTGGCTCTTTTCCTGGGATTCGTCTCTCTCCTCCCCAAAGCCCTGCTTTGTCAGAGCTTCACGATGGTGGAGGTTTTGAATGTGTGAGTTTTGGAAAGGCACACATTGAGCCCATAGCGACTTCATCCCCCATCCTGTTAACCCTTGAACGCTTGGGCTCCACCCACCGAGGCCCTGAGTTCATTGTGCCACTGGGTCAGAAACTGAGACTTGCTGAAAACTGACTCACTGCCCTCTGATTGTCAGGGACAACCAGCGGCCCAGAGCCCCTGGTCTAGAGGCAAGCTTTAGACTCTTCCAAGGACATGAGTGAAGGGGAAGTAAAAAGAGGGGCTGGGGAGCAGTTGGCTCCTTTTGGCTGACAAAAGCCAGAAGTCTGGCAACTGACACAGAGGCAAGGGAGGACTTTAAATGAGCTGCTCCTCCTTTGAAAGGCGGCTTCCGGACAGGCTTCACATTCCCAGAGAGAACAAGGATGCTGGTGCCACGCTGGTCTGCAGGAGGGAGCTGGTTCCCTTCCCTAGCTCCGGGTTCCTGTTCCCCATTCCCACCTAGAGGTGGGTTTTTGCCTTCAGTATTTTCACTTCTTTAATCTTTCATCCTCACCTGCTGCTTTGTACTCAAATTCTACCTTATCCATTAACCTGATAAACTACATTTCTGTTGTCATGGAAGATAGCATCTTGACTTGTTAGCCTGGATGCTGTTGCAGCTTCCACAAAGGGCAGTGGGCCGTGTCCAGAGCCCGTAGTCAGCACAAAGGGCTACCCTCTGGGACAGCGTCCCTGCCTCACACACACCCTTGGTGACGGAGCGGTAGGTGGCTGGCACCCTCCTTGCAGGCGTGTGCAAAAAAGTAGGGTTGGGTTGTTGACTTCAGCGTTCCATGACTTTGGCAAGAATGCTGCATTTTTATTTTCATATCCCAACGGCCATCGCATTAAGGCCAGAATTAGGCTGCACTAGAGAACAAAATAAGCTTTCTTAATTATAAGTGAGAAAACATAATTTCTACTATTTAAAATTAAACATATTTTCTGGAATGGCAGGGCAGGAAATTGACACTGGAAATGAATTTCAAGAAAATGATGCTTCTCGACATCATATAGAAAGTGAAAAAGGTAACAGGACAGATAAGAAGTGTTCTACAAAACTTAAAACAGTGGAGAGTGGGAAAACAATAATTTGGCTCAATTTTAGCACAACTGCTATTGCAAAAGGGTGAGCTACAATCAGGAGAAATCTCCCTCATCCTTGCAGCTTAATTTAATATAGATGTTTCAAACATTTAAAAAACGTCGACAGAATTATTAACGATACATCTTTTGTTTCACTGATTCATCTGTTTCAGCTAATGCTTCTTTGACAAAATTATCTATCAGTGTCTGAAAATAAACACAGTGATTTTCCTAAACCGTTCAGGGAACCCCTCAGCAGTGAGGCGAGCCTTCCCCGCCTTCCAGGAGCTGGGGTCTGGGAGCAAAGCTTCTGCGGTCCTTAGTGACTGCAGTTAAGTCCTACGAAGAGTTTTAAACAAAAGAACCTGGAGTTGCTTCAGGGAAATCGTCTTAATTCACCGAGGGTTGAGAGCCTCACAACCCTCCAGGTCTCAGGGCGCGGGCAGTAGGTGGCGCCGCGTAGCGACCGGAGTAGGCCGGCGCCTGGGGAGGGGGGGCCCTGGGGAGAGGGAGGCGCCCGGGAAGGGGGACCCCGGGGAGGAGGCGGCGCCCGGGGAGGAGCGACAGCGGGGAGGGGATGGCACCAGAGAGGGGG